TGGTTATTTGTTCTCCCTTCTGGAAGCAGAGCCCAGTTGAAAGAGAGCAGCCAGGGAACATCCCTCTGCTGTGGGAGGAGGGTACTGGGGCCCTTGCAAGCTGGAGTATAATCTGGCTCCATGGCTACACCCCATCCCAAACATTTTCACGCCTAGGTTTCTAACTTCCATTGGTTTCATACCCTATTTTCTCACGGGGCTTTCTCCTGACTGTGGAGAATTTGGGTTTCCCTGGAGAAGTTACCCTATGCCTTGGATGCAGGAATGCTACTACTACCATTTTAGACACAGGGACTGAAGATAGTGGTCCCTCTGTCCCACACTGAACAGTCTCCTGATGAGCTGACCCATGGCTCTGTGGAGCTTCTCCAGCTCCATGCAAAAGACAAAGCTGGGCAGAAAGAAGGTCTTATCTCCTTGTCATGCAAGGGCAAGCCCAAATGGAATAAGACTTTACAGACAGCCAGGAAGCAGGGTGATGTCAGGCAGGCCAGGAGTACCAGTGTAACATGGGTAGGAATGGTTCAGACGCAACTGCTCCAAGGTTTTGGGAGTAACCCGGTGATTGCTGGGGGGTAATGGGCTTTTTTGAGGGGTTGATGGTGCAAAACCGATTCTGATTCAATTGCTTGCTGGAGGAGCAAATCTGAGATCCAATGCTCAGGAGAATATTGATCATTTGTACTGATTGTGTTTTCTTTGGAAGCACTTCAAAAAGTGGCTTATAGATTCCTGGAGAAGGACTTCTGTGCCCAGAAACTTGTCTCATTTTCCCCTCTATGATCAGTTGGTCTAACAAAAGATACTGTCTCTACACACAGACTTTGTTTTACCTATGTCCTTTGACCATTAGTCACCACAAAGCTACTTTGAGGTTGCTAGGGCATTTGGCAGGAGATCAGTGGCATGAACACTACAGAAGTCTATAGCTGTCCCAAACTACTAATAAGAATATTTAGGTAGAGACACCCTGACACCCTTACTTCCCTCACCTATGGCATCAGGCCTTGCATCCTACTCTCAACAGGCTGATGGTACGAGGCCCACTGGGTGCTCGTGACTCACTTGTATTTGCAGAGACTTGGGATGACCCATTCTCACAGCACTGTAGGCTTGATGCTGCTTGTGGTGTCTCTGACATGATGCCCATCTTTCTCTTCCATCCTTAAACTACCTCTTGCCCTAGGACTTGTGGCCTACAAGAAGGACTATTTCCTATTATTAATAGAATAGCAAGAAATAAAAGCGCAGACACATTTTAATGTGGTATCATTTACGGAAAAGACACGATCTTCTGCACACTGGATATCAAAACCAAATGAGAAACTGTTCTTCTAGTTTTGTCAGTTTCTCCCGAAGCCACTACTACTTGAATTCTGGAAATTTACAGGATGAAGGATTTTGTCATGATATCTAATTCTAATCTGAAGTGATTTACTGTTAAGTTGAAGATCAAGCCTGTACATATCCCCCTCCAAGTGGTTTCTATGACAGTTTCTATTAACCATAAAAATGTCACTTGCTAGGAAGTATCAGCCTTCTTACAGGCTTTGCAATCATCACTACCAGATGCACACTTACTGAATGGAATAAATAATAGTCTCATACAATTAGCCTAGCATGCAGGACATGTCTGGCTATCTCTCTTGGCTCCAAAGTGATGTTTTCACAAGAAAATCCATATATCAAGAGATGAGGTCTATTTGGATTCTCTGGAGTTCTTCACAACTTGAAATGTTGTAATGCCTTATAAGTAAAGCATAGTGGTATATAAACTTAGGCTAAGAGTTCTGGTGCATATTTTTGTGGTTTCAGTTTGTATAAGCAACTGAAATATCCATTTTATATTGTTCTGACCCAGAAATTTAAAAAAAAAAGTGTCTCTTCTGTGGCTTAGAATGTATTTTGAAATACACCAATGGCTCTGTGGCATTTCCTGCCATTGCACCATCACAGTAAACCTCGTACTTACCAGATGCACTTTGTCCCCATCTACCCTTGAAGGAAATGACACACAGCCTTTATTGAGGCTGTGTGTGTAGTTGAGGGCTGCTGTCCGTGTGGGATGTGTTAGCAGTGTTGAGACACAGATTTGAGTTAATCTAGTCCTCATTTGTGAGCTGGAATGAGAGTTTGGTTTTGCCTCATAGGTCTGTCAGAAATCTTACCATTTACACTTAAGGTCTCTGCTGTTGGCAGGGAACTCAAGAAATCAGCCTGAATAATGAAAATGACATTGAATTGGTCCCCACATTTCAAGCTATATTCTGAAGACAAGTCATAAAGAAAGTTGCAACCTGGACCTACATTGCTGTGCTTGCATCTGAAGATTGAAATCCATGGGGCTGCTGAGCTGAAGTGCTGGATTTGGACAGCATGAGACATATATATACCCTTGCAGCAGCAGAAGCCTTGGAGCCTTGCAGCAAAAGTATCAAGAAGTCTTGTTGTTTTCACCTGCCATGTTCTGCCCTTCTTTGCACCAATCTGACTACAGAAGTTGGTGAACTTTGACTTGTGTGTTGGGGAAGAAAATCACCCTGACACAGTTTGCAGCTGTCACAGTGAATAGAGATATCAGCAAGATCTACAGAGCATCTGGATCCCTTGATGGAGTGAGCCTACAGAGCCTGGGTAGATCAGAAATAGTGAGGGAAAAAGAAAGCAAAGCATTCAGTGATATTTCTAGTGTAAGGAGATTGTGGGTTTGAAAGTAGACTCTCTGAGAGAGACACATAGGCTATGACTTCAGAAAAGGTTGTAACTAACCACCGTACCAAAGGAGTTATTCTGATGTGAATTAGAGCAAGTGTCCTCTCCTGAGATGAGCACCATTGGTGTAGGGAGTTGTATGAGGCCCTTGAGAATCAGGCAAATGGAAGATCTTGTGCCACGCTGGGCAGTGCTCATGGGAGGACATGAGGTAGACAACGAAAGGGTTTAGTTCCTTCTCCCCTCTGTCTCCTTTGCAAAGGCTGTTGTGAAAACGGAAATAGCTTAAAAATGTCTGGCAGAATGATCTGCGATCTGTCAAACCTGCTCTAAAGGGGAAGCTGAAGAAGCTTATTCTATGAGGCTTAAGGAAAAAAATCTTCAAGTATGACTTGACTTCAGTGCAGGCAGAGGTGAAGTATTTCTGGTGCTAGCAGGTCCTTTGTCTTTTATCTACCAAGTGAGTATATATCCCAGAACAAAAAGTCACTATGTGTCTCTCATCCATGCAATTTACAAAGATTTATAAATTAAAGTTACAATTACAGAATATTATACAATATGCAATGCTAAAGACTGCTGTCAGAAGGAAAAGTACATGTGGTCTGTTTGTGACTGCAGAATCTAAGATGAATACCTAGAACGTTCCTCTCCTGGAAACACTATTAATATTTTTTCACATGGTGAAATTGGTTTGAAGCAACTTCACTGTCCCGTGAAGTCTCGTGAAAACAGAAAACAGATTATATTGATACGAGAAAAGATGATGTTCAGAGTTGTCTAAGAACCAAAACCCCACATACATTCTTTAAAGTCTGTGGGATGAGGCTGCTTTTTTCACTGCAATATTCACACATGCACCTTGGAGACTCCCATCTCAGCCAGTGTCTGAGCATGCTCTTGCATTTCATCTGATGGCTCAGGAGCAAAAGTACCAGCTTTTATTCAGCAACATGTAGCTCCAAAATCAATGTCAGCTCAGCATTTTCATTGCTAACAAGCTAAACACATTCACAGATATTATTTGGACTAAAACCTGATAAACAGCAGTGGAGGACTCTGAAGAAGACAAATTGCATGTGAACCTTCTTCTCTGCCCGGGACAGATGAGAGAAAAGAAAAAAGTCATTTTTGCGTGTTTTCATCCCTGATACCTATGATGTGGCTTTTGACAGCCGAATGTCATCAGAAAAACAATGACTTGGTGAGTATTTTGTGTGGAAAGATCCAGTTTAAAAAGTGGGATTTGTAGGCCACACAGAAAAAATACATCATGCCTCCAAATTCCAGTCCAGTGAAAGCCTGGGAATTAGTTGGGCCAGGTAGTAAGCGACCTCTCTATATTTCAGAGTGATAGGAGGAACACATATATGCTGTGTGCAAAGGCACTTGCTGAAAAACCCAAAATTGAGCCAGTATCTCTGAAGGGTACCAGACTAATAAAAATGGGAAGACAAGACTTTCATCTGCAGAGTAGGCATTCCAAAGGTCCTGGGAGCCCTAACTTATCTGCATAGTGGAGAACTCAGTGACAGTTTTGTTTTAGCATCTGTGTCTGTGAGGAGAGAAAGGACAACTTGGTACCAAGTGGAAGATCCCAGCTCACTTTGTGACTGAAGTTTTACCATTATCGTGTATTAGATTTGCCATAGCAAATAAAGAATCGAAATTGAAATAAAGTATTGAAATGGCAGTAAAGGCTACACATGAAATTTAACTGTGTCATAAACCATACCTTAGATGGCTATAATAATAAAAAATGTTGGAAAGCCAGGACAGCTGAAGATTTTGTCCTTTTCAAGAAAACCCCAAATAACCCAAGCCCTCTCACTCCCTACTTTTAAAACAAGTCTGCTGTCCTGCTTCATTTATCAAATGATAACATAATAATACCATAATTGAAGTCACTCACACAGGCAGTAATTATCTAGTGATTCAGTACAGCACAGACTTGCTAGGTGGAAGACTGCACTAAGCTTATGCAGAGATTTCTATCTTGCCCATCAGTTTCTGCATGCTAAATGTATTCTGAATTTACAAATGTTGAAGTTTTAAGGTGAGATTTTCTACGCTTGGGCTAAACCCAGAAGTTATTCATTTTTGTAATGCCAGAACAAAACCATTCAGCCCCTTTTGAATTATGTGAGACTGAAAGACATGGCATTGATAACATTGCTATTAACAGCCGAATCAAGACTCCCTGACAGTACATATAATAATTATTATTATTTTTTTTTTTTTAATTGAGCAAGAAACAGCAATACGGGGGGAGGTGGAAGGCAGGAAACTTCACAGAGTTTATGCCTGCCAGTGAGCGACACCTGATCCAGAATCCAGGCTCTGGTGATGTACAGTGCAGGCAAGGTATGCTTGAATTAATGCCTAAGACCTGGCTGATACATACTTCATAGTTAATCTGGTTACGCAGGGTTTATTTCACAGTCGGAAGTTCTTGCGCTGGAAGGGAGCTCTGCTGGGGTTTTCTGAGCACACGACTGAATTAATGAATGAACGAATACAGCTTGCCAGCACAGATTTAAATTGCTTACTAGATCAAAATCTGCTCATTTTCTCTGTCCTTTATTCCAGCCTCTCTGTCTTTTATTTATTAATTTATCTGAGAAAACAGATAAAGAGCACAGATTAAAAAAAAAAAAACACAAAACCCCTCAAACAGATAAAGTGCCTGCAGACATCATCAAGACAGCAAATGCAGATAAATGCTTCTTTTTCATGCTGGCCTGAACCTTGGCACTGAGCTTTGAGTCCCGGTCCTGGGTTGGGAGGTCCCTGGCAGAGGCTGGTGGGTAGTTGGTGCTGGCCATGGGGCTGGGGGTGCAAGGACCCACGGCTGTGCAGCCTCTGTGGCCCGGCTGTCCTGAGAGAGTCATCTTGCCACCGAAAACCCTTTTTTGCAGCCCCTGGGAAGAGGACAGCATTAAAGCAGTGAAGCACTGCTTTGAAAGGGTGAGAAATAAACGGGGGCTGCTTTGCCTTCCTGCACGTTGTTTCTGTCTTTCAGATCCATGCTGTCTTTGGTATTAGCCAGTTGTCAGACTTTAATGGATGCTCGCAAACAGGATCTCTGGAATATTTTGATTTATTTGGCTACTGGGCAGTCCTGCAGCCTGCTGCCTTGACTGTGGTGTTTGTATTTTAATAGGAGTTTTAAGAAGGCTTGGCTAGGGGTATTTAAGGTAGTCCCTAGGCTTTTACACAGACTTTCTCAGCCCTGCTTAAAAACATAGCACTGAAGAGACGCGGTGACAGATTTTTCAGAAGCGGAGAAGCAGGGACCCTATAAGGGTGCCACTGTTGATGCTGTCCCGAAGCCTCTTTCAGATTAGCGAGCTCCTCTCACACCGTTGTGGCTCCTTTTGCTTCCCTGTGTCTGGACTCCTTAACTCCGTGTCCAACCATGCTGCGCAAGGCCAGGATGCAGGTAGCCCTCCTCCACTGCTGGAGCAGAGCACTGGGGAAAGGACAAGGACGGATGCCCGCTCATCCCCACCGCGCTCCCCAGCTCCTGCTTTGCAAGGCCAGACACCTCCCTCCGAGCCCCGGCACTGGAATGCGCTGCAAGGAGGTGGCGTGTGGCTGCAAGGAGCTCAAGGCAGCAGCGAGACTCCTCCCCGGACTCCGGTCTGCACGATCGCGAGTGAAGACAAATGTTGCTTATTCAAGGTGAAGGGTAGTGGTGGCACGAAGGAAAACCAGCCCGAGCTCTGCGCTGAAGTCTGGAGACCTTCCTGAAGGTTCAGTTTTTACGGTGTCTTATATTTGAATTGTAAAGCTTGTGGAAAGAAGAGGCTGATCATCAAAGACAGATTCTGCCAATATATCCAGGTATCCTGAGCTGAACTGCCCCTGCTCTTCCTCACCTTCCTCTCCCCGTGCTGCTCGCACAGCCTGAGCAGGGATGGATAGCTATGCTGCCTGGTGCAGTGCAGGTGCGCAGGCATCTGCTACTGCGTTATTGACCAGGTTTGCTTTCCTCATCTAGAGACTCGACTGCGAATTTGAATCCAGGTCTCTGGAGGTTCTTGCCCCGTGTGCAAGCACTCTGCCTGCTGCTGGCTTAACAAGGATCAGCACCAATGTGCACTTCTGCTACACACCCTCCCAAAGGGAGCTCAGTGCTTCAGAAACGAAAATCTGCTTTGACTGGAGGGACTCAGCTCTCTAATAAAGAGAGGAGCAAAATAAGTTTGGACTTTGAAGGGGTCACAGTGGTCACCTGCTTAATGCACTCTGGGAGGCTGTTTAGGCACTGAAAACCAAACTGGGGAGCAGTTCCAGGCTGCCCAGCTGCAGCCTGGAAGCAACTAAAAGAAGGAGATCCATGGTGGATGATTTTAAAAGGCACATCGGATCCCAGATAGTCAGTAAGCTCTACAAGTATTTGGTTGGAGGTTTCATGGAGTGACCGCTATCAGTGTGAGGCCCTTCAGAGCCAGCGAGCTGTTTGTGGCTGCCCTCCTTCCTCACCTGCCCCCGGGGCACACACTGAGAAGAAGGGAAGCTTGAGACCTCATGGCAGGGTTGAGCTGCTCTGCTTGGCCTCCCCATGCCTCCAACAGCAGCCAGCTGCCCTGAGAGGAGAACGTGTGATCTCAGCTCATTGCATGCATCTGTGCAGAAGGATGGGAGTGCAAGGGTAAATAGCAAGGCACCTGGGAAAAGGCTTGCTTGGGTAATGCAATGATTGTGAAGTGACACATCGATTCAGGAGGAAAGATGCAAAAACCGGCGCATTGTAACTTCAAACTTCACCAGCTTGCAGTACCAAGCATCCCTTGAAATGCTAATTAAAACGAGCTGAGGGAGAGGAGCCTGCTAAGGGGATCACAGCCACGCTTGGATTGAGTAATAAACATGTAGTAGGCATCCATGTTTCCCTGTATGCAAGCTTTCCAAGCTGAGCTGACTGTAAATGTTGCGGTTATGTGAAACCCACACAGAGTAGGATGAGAACACAAGCTAGAAAGAGGCAAGGCCTAGTTACAAAGCTGGGAGAGAAAAAAACCACAACAGCCTTCCACAAATAAATAAATAACTGCCTGAAATGAGGGCTAATTAACTTGCAATAAACCAACTTAACCACTTAGGGGCAGCGTTAACACAGAGTTAACATGCAAAACAAACCTGTGTTTTCTCACCTGGTTAATTTAATATGCGCGGTGAATATTCATGGTGTATGAAATCCTGATACATCAACACACCAAATGATGCAGTCTGTCAAGCCCAGGAACGTGTGGTAACAGGAGTAACTCAGTTGCTCATCGCACAGTGTTAACTTTGATCAGTTGGTGTTTCTAAACGTATTCATAGAGGAGGTAGGATTTAGCTGCTTTTCCTCTGCCAGGGTCATGGTATGCTCTATATAAAGATTAAAACCTAAAAAAGGAGATAAAAAGGGCTTCACTTAAAATAAATAGAAAGAAGATGAAATAGAAAAAAGCTGTCTTTGAGAAATGCTGCTCTTGCATGCAGGAGTTGAAAAACCCATTTTATCTCCATGGCCACATTCAGAGTCACTTTGCTTCCAGACAGTATGTTTCTTTCTCTGCCTCACATGCAAAGGAGTCATGGTTCCTTGGATTCCTCTGAAATATTTCCTTGCATAAAAAGGAGCTCAGACCCGCTTCAGGTATGTTTACACTCCCTGATCAGAACAAGTACGTAAAGGAAAGGTGGTTTTTTTCAGTGTTGCTTGTCTTAGCTAAGTTAGCTCTGCCAGGCAGAGGCAGCAGGAAAAACACAATAACCCGGTTTTGTTTTCTTTTATTTTTTTGAAATAAATAAATAAAATAAAGGGAGCTTACAGCTTGAATTCAGCCTAAGGTAAAACTCCGCTTATCTCACTGCTTTCTTAACCTGAAGTATGAAAAGTGCGACATTTTCCCTCCTCTTCCCCCCCCCCCCCCCCCCATTGGCACATGGTCATTTTCATGGCTCATACATGGCTTGCCAGTGTCCCAGCATCATCTTTACAAGCGCCAGGTACTCCTGCTGCTCTGGCCAGGGCTGGGGGCAGCTGGAGACCTGCTCCCATGGAGTGTCCAGTGCTCCTGGCAGTGAATACCAGATCCATGCACCACCAGACCACTCGTCAGGAGGAATGCGGATCAGGTGCAAGCATGTGCTCCTGTTTCTGCTGAATTAGCCAGAGAGCACAGTGGGGAACATATGCCAGCTTTATGCTCTGTGCTGGCTGAGGGAGGACAGGCGATACCTGATCTGGCATCAAGTGGGCTCAGTGCAGAAAGAAGATATTGAACATGGCATAAAGTTAAAGTGGGATGGGTAAACAATATCTGATCTGGCAGAGGAAGCTGCTGGTACAAAGTTGGCCTGTCAGAACCATTAAAATAAATTAAAACCAGCAGAGTGAGCGCCATGTGGCCAAAGTGTTTTTGCTGCAGTACCAGGGAATTCAGAGCCAGTGTACTATGCTGTCAAACCATGCACTTGGGAAATGGGTTGAAAACATGCACCCACCCTTGCTGGCATGCCTCTCTGATGAGCAACATGGGCAGATAGGGAGGTGAAGGGCCAGGGATGTTCAACACTGGAGGTACAGACCTTGTCCAGCATGGCCCAAGTGGCAGCAGCTACTGCAAAGCAGATTGTGCCCTGGCAAAGGGCTTCCCCTGGGGCAGGAAGTGGTGCTGGGGGTGCTGTGCTGGGTCCAGGCTGTCAGGGAGGCTGAGCTGGAGGAGAAGAGGGATGTGCGGCACTGCTGCCAGCACTGCTTCTGCAGAGGGAGGAGGGTCAGGCTCCAGAGCCGTCGCCCTGCCAAAAGCATTAAATCGACTGATATACAGTCCTGTGAGGAAAGGAAGCAAGCTGTCAGAAATGAGAGAGAAACAACGGGCCCACTGCACAGCATCACCCACAGACCAGCCTTCTCCTTTCACCTGACTCAAGTGGGTGAAGAAAATGGATGTTTAGGCACTTGCTTCCTTTACTTATAAAATTTGAGTGTTGCCCCTCTCTTTTCTTCTAAGATGGCCAGCACAGCCTGCGGACATCCAGTCCCACAGCTCCTAGGAACTGGAAGGAGAATGGAGGGGCTGACTCGTCATGCATTATGCTGAATATTTACCCCTCATGCATGCTATTTGATTTTAAATCTAGCGTGTAATATGCTTTGCATCTAGCATGTTGCTCTTGTGTGTTTTTCCCTTGCCCTGCCTGTCTCTTGCTGGCAGCTGCCATCGCGAAACAAAAGGCAGCTGCCAGTTTGAGTGAACATCTCTCTCTCTCTCTCTCTCTCTCACTCTTTTCCCTCTTGCTCTTGGAGCTGATGCAACACCACTTCACAGGCTGGGTGGCAGACACTGATGCAAGGGGGGCTCACTGCCCTTGGGATGCTCGGGCATGCGGTGCCTCTGAGATTCACTGCCAGAGCTCAAAGCCGTATTCAAGCTCTTGAACCTGGCTCAGCAGCAGCCAAGAGACAATCTGCTGTCACTCTGCCAGCACACCAGCTCAAGCTGCAGTGATTGCCCATTTCACAGGGTTTGATGTTGCTGCTTTTGGCAAAGGTGACAATTTATTAAATACTACTTTGGTCTTCTGCCCCAAGAGTCAAATGCAGGGATCTCCTCCTCCAAAGAGGTGGTATTTCCATGTCAGCTGAAAAAAAAGCCTGGAAGCAGCAAGACTGAACTGAAATGGCACTTGGAAGAAGAGACTTTCTTGTGTCAAATTGAAGTACCGTGAGGGGAAAGCAGGGTGAGATGCCAGGAACTAGGCTCTCAAGCCAGCTATGAGCCTTGGATGCTGCTGTTCTTTGGCCAGCGAGACTGTGCAGAGTTCAAGCTGCTGCACATATTGAGGGAGTGCATCCCAAACTCATCCAGGATATTTATCCCTTGGTTCCTTTTAAGACTGGCTCACTCCATGTTCTGGGAGACTCTGGAGACCATCAGAGGGGTCAGTTCAGCTGTTTTTTCCAGAGATGGGAAGTATGGAAGAGATGCGTCTGCTTTTCTTGGGGAGCCTTTACCCTGAGCTATAATGGGACCTTGCTTTGGGAAAACATGTTGAACTCTTGACTGCTGTAAATAGCCATGGTCTGGGTAATGCCTCTAAGAAGGGAGTGCTTCCTGATGGAAAAGGACGAAGATTAACTCAAGTTTGCTGGAGCTGCAGTCACTAGCACATCCTCAGTTTTTCCTTATCTCTCTGGGCTGTGGCAAGGGGATAGGGAAAAGGTGAGGGCAGGAAGGTTGTAAGAAGTCAAGCAGGACCCTGAACAATAGTGTAAAATGAAAAATCCACATAAATGCAAGCCTCAGTTCCAATAGGGAAGTTAGGAGATGAGATTCGAAACACCTTCCTGTCTGGTGTGTGCTGAAGAAGCGTACTGAAACAAATTCTCATGCAAGCTGTATCACACTGACTGTCAGAGAAACTGAACCCGCACTCCTTTCCTTTGTGTCAATTTTCTTTCAGGCAGCTCCTGTTTGGTTTTGGTGTATTTTATGTATTTATTTTTTCACAATAGAAATGGGCATTCTCACATCACTTATTGTAAACTCTTTTACAAAAATTGTGGGAATATGGGCTTGCTTTGAGGAGCAGTTTGGAAAGATACTGTTTTGTTTGATTTGCCCGATAATAAAGTCCAAAGCAGACACTGTTTATTTTAAATCATGGAGGAAAGTGAGGAAAAGAAGCTGCAGAAGACAGGTCTGAAGTCCTTGAGTAGCTGTCAGGTCAGAGGAGAAATTACCAATGTAGGTGAGAAGTTTGTGCTTTTTATAAACAAAGAACGAGCTATGCTTCCCAAGTGAAGATAATTTCCTCTAGATTAAGAAGGGTTGCAAATAAGCCAAGAATAAAAGTTTATTGCCACAAGCAAGAGAGGGCATCTTGCATTGCTTCACAGCACTGAATTTCCTCTCAGATAGGCAGCCAGGCTGCCTGCACTGAAAGGGTGCACTGCAGGAAAAGAGAGGCAGGAAAAGACAGGAGTGAACACTTCTGCCTGAGCTATCACAGTCCCTCTCATCTGAGCTCCTGGATGGACTCCACAGGTTTTCTCTGATTCCAAAAACTACATAGGAAGTACAGTTTATGGCAATATTTCCAGTCTGATTTATCTAAGCCACACACTACAAGTGGAGTGTGAAGAAGCAGTAGCATAAATGAATGGCTGGATGCCTTCAGGTTCTCATGATCTTTGTGCTCTGATTTCCCAGAGTTGTGCTGCAAGACCATCAGCGAGTCCCACTGCAAGGATCTCTGTTGCTGTGATGTGACACAGGGCCAGAGGTGCTGTAGCCTACACAATGGCTATAAAATAGGTAAAGCATGGTTCTGCTCTGAAAAACAATATATTTAACTCCTGTGACACTGATGAGTTAGCACACCTATGGCAGAGGGAGTGCATGAGTCAGGTCCTTTCCCTTTGCCACCACCTGCACTGGCAAGTCAGGACTGACAGCTGAATGTCTATCCTTTCCCATTGCTTTGGCTCCTCTTCTCTGAAGGCAAAGGAGCTTTTCCTGATTGAGGTATTTTCCTAATAGCTTTCGCCTTTAGGGAGCCCTGTTTAGTAGCAATCCTGAATGGTCTCTCCATGTCCCCCTGCGCAGGGGCAGGCTGCTGCTGCCTGTGCTGGAGGCTCTGTGGGATTTGGCCTGCAGCAGCCTCTTACAGTGTACACGGCATCTCCACGTCTTCCCTGGTTTGGCTTCTGGCCCCACTGCGGCTCCAGTCCCTCTCTGCCAGGCACAGCTCCTTTCTCCAGCACACATAGAATCATAGAACAGTTAGGGTTGGAAAGGACCTTAAGATCATATAATTCCAACCCCCCTGCCATGGGCAGGGACACCTCACACTAAACCATGTCACCCAAGGATCTGTCCAACCTAGCATTGAACACCGCCAGGGATGGAGCATTCACAGCCTCCCTGGGCAACCCATTCCAGTGCCTCACCACCCTTACAGTAAAGAATTTCTTCCTTATATCCAATCTAAACTACCCCTGTTTAAGTTTGAACCTGTTACCCCTTGTCCTGTCACTACAGTCCCTAATGAAGAGTCCCTCCCCAGCATCCTTATAGACCCCCTTCAAATACTGGAAGGCTGCTAGGAGGTCTCCATGCAGCCTTCTCTTCTCCAGGATGAGCAGCCCCAACTTTCTCAGCCTGCCTTCATACAGGAGGTGCTCCAGTCCCCTGATCATCCTCGTGGCCCTCCTCTGGACTTGTTCCAACAGTTCCATGTCCTTTTTCTGTTGAGGACACCAGAACTGCACACAATACTCCAAGTGAGGTCTCGCAAGAGCAGAGTAGAGGGGCAGGATCACCTCCTTCGACCTGCTGGTCACACTCCTCTTGATGCAGCCCAGGATATGGTTGGCTTTCTGGGCTGCGAGCACACACTGCTGGCTCTGGTTCATTTTCTCATTGACCACACCCTCAAGTCCTCCACAGGACTGCTCTGGATCTCTTCTCTGCCACTGCTCAAGTGGCCTGCCCCTTTGCTTAAGTGATAATGCTCCTCACAAAAGGATTCTAAAACATCTTCATTAAAGATACAAAAAAAAAATCTCTTGCCCTGCTCTTTCCTCTGGTGTTTCCACCCAGATCTTCTGTAAGCCTGTCTAGGTCTGTTTCTGTCCCTGGTCTCTGGTCAGCCAGTCCCTCCTCACTGATGGCTGGGGATCTTATCCCATTTGCAAGGCAGCAGTGGCAGAGAAACAGGTTGTCCTCTGCTTTTAGCCTCTGGGAACGCCTCAGCTACTCCTCATCTGCCTCACCATTATTCTGATTTCCCTTCCAAGACCCTCTGTCCTCTACTAAAGGGCCTCTCTGGCCTCTCCTTCTTTCTTAATATCCCCTTCCTTCCTTCTGGCCTGTACCTCTGTCACCAGGCTGGGGTTTCTGCCACCCTGTCCTCCCAGTGCACACTCTTGCCGCCTTAGGCGCATGGGCACCCACAAAGAGCAGCCCCAAGCCCCTAAAGCGGGCTGCTTCATCCTGTGACATAATGATCTTGGGGACGATCTCAGAGGTCAGGAGGATCTGAGGGTGATCTCACAGAGGGTGGGAGTCACGGGCCATGGTATGTAGGGGTGGACCCTGAGCCTGAAATAATTCACTTTCCTCTTGCCTGGACCTCTGCCCATCCTGGAGACAAACACTGCTGAAAAACAGAGGATCAAGACCAACTGCTTCCCTCTCCCTCTGACATTCCTTGTTCAGTGAGAAAGTAGCTTATGTATGACTGATTCCCCTTGTGATAGGGAGAGAAAATCACTCAGCACACTCGGATGGAGTGTCAGGAGTGACAATGGGGATCAATCAGACTTCCATCTCCTAAAACAATTCAGTAGTCTTTTCTTTGCTGTGGCATGAACCAAGAAAAAATATTTCTTCCTTTACAACCCTTTTACTTGCCACTTCTTCAGCTGAAACTAAAGAGTGTGCCTGACAGTGTAGAAATAGCCTCTGCTGAAGTCCATCCTGGGGGATGCTTTCTAGTGGTAGCATGCCAAGCAAGGACATGCAGAGTGTCACTGCAGAGTCCCAGATTGCCCTCCTGTCCCCAGTCACATCCCCAGCCTAATGGGAATGATGCAGAGATGTTGGGACCCACTCTTTGCTAAATCCTTAGCCCTGGAGGAATCATCAGATCATGCTGTTTGCATACTGAGGTGCCTTCTGTCACCCAGCCCTAAACAGCCTCTTGCTAAGGTGTAGGTCTGGGTCTCAGTGTGAAGTTTTGAGGCCAGATCCTCCCTACCAGTTCCCCCACCAGCAAAAACAACTCTTGTGCCTTACCGTTCAGTGCTTTCAGCTTTTAACCATGGCAAGCTGGGGACAGACCTTAAACTTGCATTCAATCTCAGGGAGAAGAATCAGAGATCATTACAAGCCCTGAGGACCCCAAGCACTGGAGAGGACAACAGAAAATGCCAGTTGCCTCAATGCTGGAGGAGGTCCAGACCATCTGCATTCATAGAGGGACTGATCGTAGCCAGCCGTGCCAGCAGGGCAATCCCAAGCTCTCTCTCCCCTTTCCACAGTAATATCCCTTCCCGAGACTGGTGTGGACTATGGCCCATTGCATGGAGTTATGCAGCTGGGAAAAGCCCAGGTACACAATGAGATATAAAAACCTCATTAGCAAGCCAACAAGAGCAGACACAGTACAGGGCACTTGGGAAACCGGAGTTATGGGGGTCTGCACCAAACAGAGAGGGCAGGTTCACTTGTAAAAGATCCCAGAAATGGGCACCTTTCCTGGGGGGCTTAAAGTTAACAGAGGCAACATGCTGGCACTTGGAAATGCTCTGCAGTGGACTGTGAGGACACAATTTCCCCAGAGAGTAGCAGCGAAGAAACCTAGTCTCAGTCGTCTGTAATCTCAGCAAACCATGGAAATCCCTCTATTTTTTCCATTAAAAGGCTCTCTTGTGTGGGGAAGAGGAAGGCTGAGCTGGCACCCTGTTGAAACCTCCCTTTTAAGATACTCTATAATACCCCTTTTCTCATGTCTCCCCCCATCTGTCAGACTTGCCTGCCTCCTGCAAACGCTTCAGCAAGGCTGAATTTCAAGTGCCGTCTTGCAACTGTTGCTTGCATGTCAACCCCCAAAACGAAAGCAAAAAACGGGAGGATGTTGAGGGCTAAGATACAAGCAGCCCATACGTATGTGATGCAGGGAGACGGTTCATGAGTGGCTGACGCTTGTCCTCCCTGAGCTGGGCTCCTGCTCTACACAGCCTGGCCAAGTCGAGAGCCCTGCTCAGTGCAGCCTGACTTCTCGATGGTTTCGGCCTCAGTAAAGACTCTGGTTCTGATGTGTGGATTTCTCTTTAGGATGAGAAGGGGAGCAAACCCCACAAAGCCTCCTCTCAAAGGCCAAACTTCCCCAGCTGAAGCCAATGAAGAGCAACCCAGCTGTTCCCACTCCCCCAGGTTGGCACGGGCTCTGCAGGCAACCAATCCCCCCCACGCTTCCCCCCAGCAGCCGGGGAGCCTGCGGGGTGCCGGTGGCCGCGGGAAGAGGGCAGAGACCCGAGGCGAGGGCCCCGCTGCGGGTGTCCCGTCTGGAAAGCCGGGGCCCCGGGGAAGCGCGAGGTGCCTGACAGAGGGCTGACTCAGCGGGAGGCAGCGGTTTGTGTAACCTCCAGCAATCCATTATTACAAAGGGGCTTTCAGGAACTCCTCTGTGCCAGGCACTGCGAGGGTTATTGATTGAGGAGACAGTGTAAATGCACAGAGAGGCTCCATCCATTAGGGCCGCTGCTCTCCACCAATTAGAAAAAAATCATTACTCAGCAGCCATCAATGGGCTCTGTGCAGCGCTGAAGTGCATGCATTCAATCTATCTTCTCCCACCTCCCTGAAAACTTAATGACAACTATTAGAGCTCCGCTGAATGCCCGGTGTGTACAGAAGCAAAAGATTCATTTGGTAATCTTAGTAATTACGACGCCATAGGAGGATGCATCCTAAATCCAAACAAGGGTGTGAGGGGGGGAGCGCGGGGGGAAGAGCCTGAATTCCTGCGTTGCGAAAGCCCTTGTCATGCAGCTTCCCGTCCCTTCCCACTCACCTGCTGCCTCCCCTTCCCTCTTCCCATGGCCTCTCGGTGGGCTTTCTGGGCTTGTTTTTCTGCTCCCCAAAAGGGAAACATCATTTTATGAAAGCAAATTGAAGTGGGGTGACTTGGGAAATATTTGAGACCTCTGGATGAGGCACAAGCCTGGCAACACTGTTTGACAGCACTGCCCTGAGCAATTGAGGAGGCGAATTCCCATTTACAAAAGCCCGTAGAACCATTCTGAAGCCCCGCTGGCATAACACATGCAGGGTGCAATTTATTTACTCTGCCACAGCCCTCTCCTTCCCCCCTGCCACACAGCCTTTTCATTTACACATGGCAGGACTGAGGCCGAGCTAGACCCTTGTCTGCCTCCTTGCCAATGCATGTCACTCCAAGTTACGGGGAAAGCAAAGTCCCAGGAGGGAATTTTTGGAAGAGCTTGAGGATGGATGTGACATGTCATTGAAGTTGAAAGGAGCAGTTACTTACAAGCAATGGTGCTTTTCACAGGCCTCCTCTTGTCCAATCTGGGAAGAGGTAAGTCATCATTATATGAGGGGCACCGACAATGTTCATCAGCAGCCAGAGCCTGGAGACTGCTGTCAGTCATGCCGGTGTTCAACACTGCACCTCCCAACAGAGGAGTATCTTCCACACCACCAGCAGCCGTGCATCTGACAGATGTCATCAGAATAAGGGAGAGCTGAAAGTGAAACTTTGCTGTTCCCTTTTTAGTACCCTCTAGAGGAGCTGATCCTGCCAGGGCCAGTTCTTACAGCATCAGCCTGCCTGGAGGGGAGGATCGCTAGTGCGAGGAGAAGACAAGCTCCCAGTGTCTGCCTCAGTTCAAGGTTGCAGGCTGATCTTGCAGAGGGTGAGGAAGCTGGGTCACCACATCTCTGTAGCTAACCTCGGCATGTCTGGGATCAAGACATTAGCCATGAGCATTACAGCTATGATTGGCCTCAGTAATGATCAAGTATGAGCAGCATGAGACTTCTTAGGCCTTTTCTTGGACTCCTTGGTCTGTTTCGCATGCATGTGTTGTAGGAATAATGCAAAAGTTCCTGGAACATGCAGCAGATGGAAAAATATGTTAAAGGGGAGATGGCACAGACAATCATAGGAAAATTGGGAAAACTAAAGTAAATCCTAGAGTCTTTTTATTTTTTATTTATTTAGTTTTATTTTTTATTTATTTATTTTATTTATTTATTTAGTTTTTTATTTTGGTTTTACTCACGGGAGGTTCAGCAAGATTTATGAAATACAGAATGAAGGTCTCAGACTTCATCAGGTTGTTAAAGAAAATGCAACATCCAAACTTTCTCCGAAATGAAAACAGAAAAAGGAAGACATTAAAGATTACTCAGTGGGGAGAATAGCCTTCCTCCTCTGTGTATGAAATGTGAGAAGGGTACTGAGGGAGCAGTTACTCTTTCTGCCACATTACACATCATAGGACAGGCACAGAGAGCCCGTTCCTTGCTGAAGGCCAAATAGGCCTTTGAAAACCTCAGATAAGCAACATATTCATATCCATCTTGATGTTATCCAGCAACAATGATGAAAATACACAGGTGGCTGCAAGCCACGTGCAAAATGATTTTGCAGCCTGTGTCTGTCCCTCATGTACCCTAACTTTCATAGAGGCTAATGGGTCACACAGCAGGGTTATACCCCTGTAAGTGACTCTCACACTCTGTCCTGGTGACCCTGTTACATCCACCACTAAGTGGCTTTTAATGTGAAAGTTTATTAAAGAATTAATTCCCAGTCAGGCGAAAGGACGCATCTTGATAAAATGCAATGACAAGATCTGCACATTGAATCAATGTGGTGAGGCATTGGGAAGAATGGATGAAAGAACTGGGAAGAAAGGATGTTGCCTTCGTTACAAGACCCTCCAATACCTTCTCATGATCCTTAAGGTCTCTTCCAAGCCAAACCATTCCGTGATTCCATGCTCCTTCCCCCGCAGTGTGCTGCCAAAAGGCACAGACATTCTCCCTTCCTTCCTTTTGGCTGGCTGGGGAGAGCCTCTGCTCCAGAGGCACTAGAAAAGGGAAGACCACGGCAACCAGATTAAATGACAGGCGCCCCTGTGGTTTCTATTCAGCCATGCCTGACCTTGACATGTGAATCGGAGCCAGGAAGGACAACATGCAAGAGTCCATCTGATCTGCCGCTCCTGGGGAAGATGCTGGCAGCTACCCTGTGGTCTGTGGATCCGGCCATCTGCCGCAGACGGGGGGTAGCTGTGTAGAGGCCCAGCTGGCAAACAGGCTGGTGGCTGGCTGGCCCTTAGAGAGTGAACAGTGTCCACAGGTTCATTGCAGGTGGACTCAGGAGACCACGGCATTCCTTGAGCATGGAATTTTGTCTGTGCTCCTGCGGCTGAATAGAGACCAAGCTCACGGGCAAGGTGCTTTGCAAATCAGGCAGAATGATAGATCAGAGGACCAAACACCATCTTGGCCCTTCTTCTCTTTATGACCTAAAGCCAAGCTGTCTGCTAATATGGAGCTCACTGTATGACTGCCGTTAAGTCATGGAATTGCTTCCCCCGCTTAAATGGGAGCAATTGGTGCTGGGCTCCCTGTTATATATGAATGTACTTACCTGCAAAGCCTTTACCACTGTCCTTCACCTCTTTGTGAAGACCTCTGCAATGCAGAGAGGGGAAAAGATCAGGCATTGAACTGATAGCACTGGCCATTTACTACAAACTGCAGGATTTTGGAGAGTGAAGGAGGATATATTGGATCCTTTGAGCAGTGGGGCACTTTGTTTCTCTGACATTGGTGCTCAGAGAATGGTGTAGAGGATGATTGCCTAGAAATACATTTGCTAAGCTATTTGCTTAAACTACAGAGTCACTTGGGCACCATCAGACCGAAGGAAAGACATGAGCTCTTTTGCCAAGAGACTATTGATAACATCTTTGAAGAGAAACCTTAAAGCCCCAGTGCCATTTGCTGAGTGTCCTTCTCCACATTAACTGTGATTATTGTATTTAAGGGGTAAGGACAGTAAGATTTTGTGTCATAGTTAAAAGAACTCCAACCCAATAAAGACACAAAGCCAAAGCTTGAGAAGAGGAACACATACTACAATGAGCACTCAAAATATGGTTATTTTACGCTTTTCCTATTTTTTAGACTGTTTTTTTTTTTTGTTGACTCTCTGAATAAGGAAATGGCTGATGAGGGTGAAAACTCTGTTGAGATGTTCTTCAGTGTGTGCCTGGGGATAGAAGGCAATTTAATCTCCAAGGCTTTAACTCATCCTAAATGACAGATGCACATCCTAAATGCCTTCTAATGAGATGATATCTGTCTATGTTCTCTTCCTGTAATTCCAGGAATGTTCAAAGAAGCTGGAACGAGAAATCTGCCCAGAGACTTCCTGCACATGTAAGACCATGTTTTGAAACTGTATAGTGGCCTTTGCTGTTTTGCAGGCTATGTTATTGTTCTGGATGGTGTATTTTCAGCATATTTATCTACATTTGGGAAAAGGTCTTCTTGATGGTCCAATCTTACCCTATTTGGAAGTACTCCAGTTGGAAGCTCTCAGGGATTCTTTTCAGAGTTTTCTTGCCTTTCATTATGGACTTTTCATTATAGACTGTCTATACAATTTTAAATGTTTCTTGGTGATTAGGCTGTTCCTTCTGGATCCTTGAACCAGTTTTGTCAGGAAACACCATTTCTGCTGTGGCAGACCAGACAGGAGCCTTGCTTTGGTGGGATCATTACTTGGGTGTCTTCCCCTCACCCCTTCCACTATTTACGAGTTCTCTCTTAACAGCATTATCTTTCCGCCTCTCCTAGAAGAGCTTGTCCTCTTTTCTATAATTTCCTGTTGCCACCTACAGAGCGTGGTGTCAGCCGTTTACAGCTCCCTCTGTTCTCTCTCATCCCCCTCCACTGTGCTTTTGTCAGTCATTCCTTGTCTTCCCCAGCTCTTTATTTCCTCATCTTCTGCTTCCTTCCTTCACCATCATGGCACCCCTCTTGTATTTCCTCCTTTACCCTCTGCACTGTGACTATGTCCCAGTACTAACTGACTTGCTACTGTGTGCCAAGACAGGTCTTCTTGTCTTCACTTGGACCTTGTCTGAAATACCATAAAGACCTACTGGATCAAAGGCAAAGCCACCTCATCATCCCCCAGTCCTCTCCATGCGTCAGCTACCCTGGGAGAGAGCTGCAGGCTGGTGGGGAGGATGTAGCCCCATTCCTCTTCAGCATGAGGAAGGACCTTCCTGACCTTGGACCCTAAGTAGAGGAATGAAAGATGAGCTACCTCCGTTAGGCTTGTCTCCTCCACCTTGTTATTGTTACCTCCTTCCTGGAGGCCCCCAACTTGCCCTACAGATGTCAGCTATTTTTTCCCTCAGATTCTCCTGCGGTTTAGCAGAAACCAAATTGCCCTCATCCATATTTACCTTAGTAAGACTGTTGCTTCTATTTCAGGCCTGGTGGAGTCCTTACATTCTCAAAATCTGGGTTGTTTCTCTCAAACACACTATTTCACTTAATGAAAGATGCTACCTCTGTCTATAACCCTTCCACCCTTTCAGATGAAGACATAATGAGGTACAATCTCCCTCACTTCTTCTCTGAAACACATCTGCTTTGTGTCATCTCTTCCATTCAGAGATGCTTCCTTGGACAGGACAGGCTTCTTGCCATCTTCCTGGAAGCAACACCACTGTTCTGCCTCTGCTGCTATTGAAATTTATGTTGCTGGAAGAGTCCCTACCACACTGTCAGGAACAGCACAGGTCACCCATCAGCTGCCTAGAAAAACAGGCAGAGAGTGTCTTTCCAGCTGAGATATGAGGACCACCTGCTGCCAAAGTGGGAGACTACTTCCAAAGCAGTTGACCGGAGTATGCCAAACTCATGCCAGTGCCCCCACAGGGTTTGAAGTAGTGATGGTCGATGCAATTAGACCACAGCAGGGTTGCAACCTGAAAAGTGTGCTCTACCCAATCTACCAAAATTACTAGGTGCTGAGGCCACAAAGTCCACAAGACTGGTTTCGTGCTCTGCTTTGCATCACTCCACTGCAGAGTCTGTTATGCCTCTTGTCTCCAGCAACAGGGAGACCTTAACTGCATGAAACGTGGCCTGAGCTGCTCCTTTTTTTCTCCACAAAGCACTGGAGAAGGGCAGAGCCCATGCGCAGGCAGAAGATGGAGAGGAGAGTCAGCGACAGAGGGGATTGCCCTGAGGAAGGGAGTTGCCACTGCCTCAGGTTTGTGGTGTGAAGGAAGAGAGGGGCTATACCAAGTCCTCCAGTGCAAAACACTCTACAGGTTGTGCCAGGGGATGCAGTGTCTCAGAAGGGATCTCACTCTACCCCAGTGTAACTGGACTGACTAAGCAATAAGAACTAGGGAAGAATAAAAAGACTCTTGCCTTCACATGGACTCCTGAACATTTCCAGCTCAAACCTTTGTCCTAGAGGCTCAGCAAAAGCATTGCTGTGGCCCTTCTCTTGGTATCAGTGTCATGAGAGATTCAAATGGCATTGTCCACCTCCAAAGCTTTTGCAGAATGAATGTTTTCGTTTTCCTATGTGCCTGACTTGACACACATTCCTGGACCACTTGGAGGTCACAAATGTAATTAAACCTCTGTGAATAGTAGCAGACCTCACAGAAATAAAGGCCTTAATCCAATCAAGCCACATTTGTACTCCCTGTACAACATCAAGCGTGGCCAAAGCAGAAGGGACAGACCGTGGCGAGCTAGAAGGGCCCAGGAATTTCCTCCGTGAACCACTAATTATGGATGAGAATGTGATTGTGACACTTGCAGACAATACGAGCAA